AATATTGTGCAGAGATAGGAAAAGCTGAGCTCATGGATGAAGTTAAAGTTGAAATGGAAATTGTGGTCTGGGTATTGGATGAGAGAAGGAAATTAAAGAGTGAACCGAACTAAGATATGTTAGATAAATGGGTTGATAATAGAGAAGGGAGGAAGAGTGAGAAATAGGAAATGGCTGGGGAAACGTCATAGATGAATGACATGTATGGAACAAATGTACAAAAGCTACTCATATAACGCATAATAATCATAATCATAAATCTTTTTTAGAAGATGAGTATATAGCTAGGCATTTGTTGCAAAAGGTGTGATTTCAGTATGATTTGCAGTTTTTTCTGGAAATGCTTCTACATTTGCATACTGTTGGGTGGGACTGAAAAATCAGCCCTATCTTCCCAGGTGACATCCGAAGCTAAGATGAGCCATGAAACTGAGCTGGAAGACAAACAGACAACAAACAATAACTTTAGTCAATTGAAATACCAATCCAACCTATTCAGAGCAGTGGTTGAGATAAAAAGTCCTAAACTCTACAACTTTACATATTTTTGGAGAATGCTCCTGTGTTCAGAGGGTCATTTCCTCATAGGTTTCTTTTTATGACTGTAATTCTCTCCTCTGATACATGTTTATGTGATCAGCTTTCCACTCCTTGCTCTCTCTCTCAGGGGCTGGAATGATGTTGTGGCCAAATCCACAGTCGAATCTTCAGTCGTTTCTTCCGCTTTGTGATGGAGTGGAACTGACTCAGGTAAGCAGAAGAATTCCTGGGAGAGGAGGAAGGGAGCTGCCTGGGGGTCATTTCTTCCAGGATTAATAATCAAAAATCTCTTGAAACAGAAAAGATTGAATGGGAATTTCTTCAAAGTGAGATACTAAAGGCACAATTGCAAACAGTGGCAACAAGGAGGAAAATAAATAAGGGAAATCTAAAAAAACCAGAATAAATGTTGAAAGATCTTCCAGCTGAGCTAAGATTTTAAAGGGATGTGTACAAGAAGTGGAAAGGGGGCCGGGGAGGGACAGGAATCCCCAAAGAAGAGCTCAAACAACTAACTAGCACAAGTATGGAGAAGGCCTGAGAAGCTACAGCAGAAAATGTGCTCAGGCTTGCCAGAGGGATTAAAAACAATTAAAGGGGGTTCTTTGGTTGCGTCAGGAGAAGAAGGAAAGAAGAGCAAAGTGTAGGGTTTGCTCAGCAGTCTCCCTTCCTGGGCTAGCTGGGGTGGTCTTGGGGTTGGCTTTGGAGTCTTAGCGGCTAATAGTGCCAGGAGACTTCAACATCCATGCTGAGACTGCCCTGTTGGGAGTGACAACCATGGGTCTGTCCCAGATGGCGTCTTGCCCTACCTGTGCTGCTGGACCTTGTTTTCTGTGCAGGATGGGATGGTGGTGATGGTGGTGTGGAGGAACGGACTATAGTTCAGTTCTCATGGGCTGATCACTACCTGGTCAGGCTTAGATTTTCTGGGACTCCAAACCTCTGCAGGGGAGGGAGACCGATTAAGACACTCCATCCCAGGTTGCTTACAGATCCAGATGGATTCCTGACGGCTCTTGGAGACTTTCCTGTCACTTTGGCAGGTGATTCCGTTGAAGTTCTGGCTGACCTCTGGAATGGGGAATTGGCCAGGGCGGTGGACACAATTGCTCCTGGAGGTCCCCTCTCGTGGAGCAGATCCAAAATAGCCCCTTGGTTTTGCAAGGAGTTGGCAGAGATGAAGCAAGTGAGATGGAGACAAGAGTGACATTGGCAAAGAACTCAAAAACAGATCTGACCAAGCCAACAATGTGATGCAGCAGGTTAGAAGCCCATGGGATTTTGGGCTGCATCCAAAGGAATGTAGTGACCTTCTTTCTGCTTTGGTGAGACCTCACCTGAAATCACACTGTGTCTGATTCTGGGCAACACAATAAAAGCTGGAACATGTCCAGATTCCAATTCTGATTCTAAATGTCAGTTGAGAAATAGTTGTGACTGACCAACCAGACATCTCTTCAAGACTTAAACTATGGCATGGAGGCTTTAGCCCTTTAGGAAGAACTTCCTGACTGTGAGAGCTGTTCAGCAGTGGAACTCTCTGCCCCTTAGTGTTGTGGAGGCTCCTTCTTTGGAAGCTTTTAAACAGAGGCTGGATGGCCATCTGTCGGGGGTGCTTTGAATGCAATTTTCCTGCTTCTTGGCAGGAGGTTGGACTGGATGGCCCACAATATCTCTTCCATCTCTATGATTCTATTATTCTTTCACTTTCAAACAATCAACAGGATTGTAAATCTGCTTTAAAGAGATTCTTGTAGTTATTATTATTATTTTGCTTTCCTTGATGTGAGAAGGAAATGCGTTCTTTTCCCACCAGGGCCCAATTGCCTTTGAGGACGTGGCTGTGCATTTCTCCCCAGAGGAGTGGGCTCTCCTGAATCCTGATCAGAAAGCCTTGCACGTGCAAATAATGGAGGAGATTCATGGGATGGTGGACTCTCTTGGTAAGGCTTCCTCACTCGTGGGGATTTCTATTTCAAAATTAAGTTTCCCAATCAGCTCTCTGGTGGGAGCAGGAACCTAAACCATCCCAATCTCTGACAGTTCTCAAGGCAGGTCTTATCTTAGAAATATATTGACTTGGTGCCTGAGCAACAGCAATCTTAGCACCAATTCAGACTCCAGTGGGAAGACTTCAATGGTCAAGTCTAAGCGTACCACAATCCCTCGCAGCACCAGGGCCCCCTGGAAAGCCTCTCAAGAGTGTTCACCACAGATCGAACACACACTCTTTGTATCTCTGTGAGTGTGTGTGAGAGAGAGATTGGCAGTGTAGGGGGGCGGGAAGTAGATTTTCAATAAGTAACCAGCAAACCTCTCCTGACTTCAGCCACCTGGTTTTGCATTCTGTGTATGAAAAGCCACTGCATGTCTGAAGCCAAAAAGAGGTATGGAAGATGATGAAAAAGAGTTGTTTTGCAAAGGTTTACTTGCTCTTGATGTCTGCTGACATGCTTTTTCCCAGTAACTCGGGCTCCCTGGAACTCTATAAAGAGCCATTGCCCAGACTGATTGGCTGGAGAGTGGGGCCAGCGAATGGAGCATCAAGAAGAACAAACTTCCCCAGGCTTGACATATGAACACACAGCTAAAATTCTTTTTATGGGGGTGATATTCAGACTTGTTTTTCCTCCCAGCCAGGCAGTCTAGCCCCTGCATGTCCGAAGGCCAGGCTCTCTTTTTGTACGCTGTCTCTCCCAGCACACAAACTGCCCCTCAGCCATTTGCAAGATTGTGACCTCCAATGTAATGTCTACTATTTTCTGTCCTTTTGAATGATTGGGGCTTAGGGGTTTTTTGTTTACAGTCATATGGGGAGAGATAAATGGAGATTGTAGGAGAGAAAGAAAAAGAAGGGAAAGATTGTGGAATGGGTGGTAGCAAGATAAAGATTTAGCTAGAGAAAAAGGCAAGGATTTGAATGTGAAGGGAAAAGTGAGAAGGAGGCAGAATATAAAAACATGCTGGACTGAGCAACAAGTATATTCTAGTACATATGTTACTCAGCTCTCCCTTAGAGTCTCCAAGCAGTCAAACAGTGTCAATTGTTAATGGACAAGGGGTGAGGAAAGGACAGCGTTTATATCTTCAGAGTCCTTATCACTCACGCTGAGGAATGATTTGTTTCTGTTCTTCTTCTTCACAGCAGATAACTGGAATAAAAGCAATGGATACACCAAATGGAGTAAGCATTTTGCGCAAAATGAGGGCCTTCCTAGACACCAGCAAAGCCACAGTGATGATGGAGGTTTTGCCATAGAAAGGCCTTACAAATGCAATGAATATGGGCAGTGTTTTACCCATAATATGGAAATTGTGCTTCACAAAACACTCCATACTGGGAAAAACCACCTTAAATGGAAAGTATCAGCAGAATGTGTTACTGATTACAAATTGCCACATCTGAGCCAAGAAGAAATCTTTGGGGGAACTGAGGATTTCACAAGCCAGGAGTGTGGGAAATCTTTTAACCAGAGTTCACGCTTGGTGGAACATGAGAAATTTCACACAGGAGAGAAGCCACTGCACCAATGCCAGGAGTGTGGGAAATGTTTTGGTTACCATTCGGACTTGGTGAGGCATAAAAGACTTCACACAGGAGAGAAGCCATACCAATGCCAGGTGTGTGGAAAATGTTTTGCTTCCAATTCATGCTTGGTGAGGCACAAAAGACTCCACACAGGAGAGAAGCCATACCAATGCCAGGAGTGTGGGAAAGGTTTTGCTCAAAGTTCAGCCTTGGTGAGTCACAAAAGACTCCACACAGGAGAGAAGCCATACCAATGCCAGGAGTGTGGGAAAGGTTTTGCTCATAGTTCAGCCTTGGTGAGTCACAACAGACTCCATACAGGAGAGAAGCCATACCAATGCCAGGAGTGTGGGAAATGTTTTGCTTACAGTTCAGTCTTGGTGAGCCACAAGAAACTCCATACAGGAGAGAAGCAATACCAATGCCAGGAGTGTGGGAAATGTTTTGCTTACAGTTCAGTCTTGGTGAGACACAAAAGACTCCACACAGGAGAGAAACCACACCAATGTCAGGAGTGTGGGAAATGTTTTACTCAGAATGCACACCTTATAGAGCACTGGAAATCACACACAAGTGAAGACTCATACAAATGCCAGGAGTGTGGGAAATGTTTTGCTCGCAGTTCATACTTGGTGAGGCACAAAAAACTCCACACAGGAAATAAGCCATACCAATGTCAGGAGTGTGGGAAATGTTTTGCTCGCGGTTCATACTTGGTGAGGCACAAAAGACTCCACACAGGAGAGAAGCCATCCCAGTGCCAGGAGTGTGGGAAATGTTTTGCTGACAGTTCACTCTTGGTGAGACATAAAAGAGTCCACACAGGAGAGAAGCTACACGAATGTCAGGAGTGTGGTAAATGTTTTGCTCGCAGTTCAGATTTGGTGAGGCACAAAAGACTCCACACAGGAGAGAAGCCATACCAATGCTAGGAGTGTGGGAAATGTTTCACACAGAGTTCTCCCCATTGGGAGCCACCAGAAAATCCATAGAAGAAAAAAACCATCCAAAGAGCTAAGATAAAAGTAACCATGAATTGCAACAGGGAAAATGCAAGTTCTGGACATTCTGGTGCTGTGGACTATACATTTAACATTTTCCGATGAACATGTGTGAATCCCTTGGCTTCCAGTAACATGCGGCTTGTCTTTGGATTGATTTCTTAGACATTTCTCTTCTTGGGTTAAAACTCTGTTCAGCTTTTTGGTTTTGCTTGACTTGGGACTGTTTTGGATAACAGTTTCTTCTCTGGTCATGGGCCTCACCATGGGACTGGACTGGCTTTCCTCTGTTCAGCCTTTGTAGGTAAACAACCGATTTCAAACAGTACCGGACTACTGTAAATTTTCTGGGCTGTATGGCCATGTTCCAGAAGCATTCTCTCCTACATTTCACCTCCATCGATAGCAGGCATCCTCAGAGGTAGTGAGGTCTGTTGGAAACTAGGGAAAATGGATTTATATATCAGTGGAATGTCCAAAGTGGGAAAAGAACTCTTGTCTGTTGGAGTTTGGTGTGAAATGTCACCCAAGTAAAAAAAAAAGCACAATCAAAGTCCTGGCAGACCATCCAAAAACTGTCATGCCATTAAATGCTAATCAAGGTGGCCAATTCAAACATTCAGACAAGAGTTTCTTCTCCAACCCTGGACATTCCACAGATATATAAACCCGATTTTCTTAGTTTCCAACAGACAGCACAACCTCTGAGGATGCCTGCCATAGATGCAGGCAAAGTGTCAGGAGAGAATACTTCTGGAACGTGGCTATACAGCCCGGAAAACATACATCAACCCAGTGATTCTGGCCATGAAAGTCTCCAACAACACATCAAAAAGGACCGTTTGAGAAGTTCTGTCTAAGATTTGGTAGATGCCCCTTTCTTGTTATTTGAATCCCTACGTTGAGGTCTTCTTCTCTGGAGCAGCACAAAGCAAGCTCCCTGTGATATTCCTTCAGAGGATTAAATACCATTGTCATATCACTTATTTTAAAAAATAAATCATATGTAACTCCATCAGTTGTTTCTCTGAGCTTAGTTTCCAGCTCCTTTACCATCTTGGTTAAACATTTCCAGTTTGTGTGTGTTGTGTTGTCTTTCAGCTGGGATTCCAGAATTGAACACATTGCTTCTGTTGAGGCAAAACCAAAAGAAAAGGTGCTTGTGTCGTGATGAAGATTAATGTGTAGACACACACAGATGCGGAAGCTTCCTCCCTCCAGCCAAGGAGCAAACTCACACGTTTGTCTTGTAGCAGTTTATACTAAAACATATATACATACAGAGTCCAATTCTCTCAGAACTCCAGTCTTCCAACAGCTTTGCAAAAACCTCCAACCTTCCAACACCTCCAAACACCACCACACTACTCCACCAAACTCACCACAAGGAGTAACTCTTTTCAGAAGTTACACCACCGTAGCTCTAACTACTCAATGCTTGCCAGGTGGCCCGGCTCCCAATGCCTGCACTCCTGATCTGTGCACTACTTGTTGCTTAAGAAATGATAAAACTTTTAACAGCTTGCATGGTTATTTCCCTTCATGTGCAAATCATCTCTGGCTAGAATTACTAGCTGTTTCACTGCTCCTGGTACACACACTTGTAATCCACATTAAATTGAGAAACACGAGTCTTGTTATTTTGGAATTTATTTATTTACTAGCCACCCACTGCCAGGCGTTGTTGTGGCCCAGTCTGATGATCTAGAAAATAAAGTAATTAGAAAGTGTTGGTTTCTAATATATGTAATTTCTTTATGCTTGTGGGTAAACAGTATTTCTTGCTGTTTCTTTGTCAGTGTTGATGTGGAGAGTGTCTGGTTTGCCCACTTTGGAACATGCAACATATCATTCTTTAGGGGGTCTCTTTCAAATCTATGATATTATATCCCTCTGTGTGTGAATTATCTATCTATCTATCTATCTATTTATCTATGGCTGGATGGCTCTTTGTCAGTAGGGTTTTATGTTTTCTTGCCCTGGTGAAGGGAGTTGGACTGGATGTGTTAAGATGTGCCTGGTTGTTTCCTCTCTGCTGTTTTGCTGTTGTAATTTTAGAGTTTTTTTAATACTGGTAGTCAGATTTTGTTCATTTTCATGATCTCCTCCTTTCTGTTGAAATTGTCCACATGCTTGTGGATTTCAATGGCTTCTCTGTGTAGTCTGACATGGCGGTTGTGAGAGTGGTCCAGCATTTCTGTGTTCTCAACATCATAACACCTCTCAACAAAAGATTCCCCCAGGCTCAGGCAGGCCTTCAAATGCTAATGAAGGTGGTCAGTATATATCTGTGCAATGACTGGGGTGGGGCAAAGAACTCTTCTCTGCTGGAGCTAGGTCACACCTAGCTCCAGCAGAGCCCTTTGCCCCACCCCAGTCATTCCACAGATATATAAACCCATTTTTCCTAATTCCAACAGACCTCACTACCTCTGAGGATGCTTGCCATAGATGCAGGCGAAACGTCAGGAGAAATGCCTCTAGAACATGGCCATATAGCCTGAAAAAACCTACAACAACAGTGATTCTGGCCATGAAAGCCTTCGACAATACAATGTAATGTTTGTTTGTGGGATTAACCAACCCCATTCTGCCAAGAAGCATTCAAATCACCCCTGACAGATGGCCATCCAGCCTCTGTTTAAAAGCTTCCAAAGAAGGAGCCTCCACCTTCAATATATCTAACTATCCTATGAATACAGAATTTTTCCTCTATGACTCTATCTCTGCCATGATCTTGAGTCTTTTGGTTCCATGGCTTTGGGGAGATGCTCTTTCCCCCTCCTTCCAGGAGAAGGAGGAAAGGAGACAGAGAGGAGGAAGGGGAGGCCAAAGAGGGAAGCTCCCCTCTCCCAGCTGGGCAAGAAAGGGTTAAGGGGAGGGAGTGTGGTTCCCAGAGAGGCAGGAAGGAAGTGGGCCTCCTTTTACCTGCCTTTCCTGTCCCTCTAGGAACCAAACTCCCTCCCCTTCACCCTTCCTAGCCTGGCTGGGAGAGGGGAGTTTCCCCCTTTGGCCTCCCCTTCCTCCTCGCCTGTCTCTTTTCCTCCTTCTCCTTCCTCTTCTTCTTCCCATTCCTTCTCCAAAGGGCCAAAGAGAGGCTGAAGCCCAACACTCCTGGAGGGAGGGACAAAGTTGGCCCAGGCCTCCTTCCCTCCCAGGTTGGCCTCCTCCTCTTAGCCTTTCTCTCTTCTCCTCCTCCTCCTCCTTTTGGTGAGTCTTCTTCCCATTCCTTCTCCAAAGGGCCAAAGAGGGGCTGAAGCCCAAAATACACCTGGAGGGAGGGCTGAAGTAGGCCTAGGCCTGGACTAACATGGGATTGGGAGTCATCTGATTCTCCAACAAGGAGAGAGAGGCCAATGACTTTCCCCTGCCAACCCACTCACCTGCCTGCCTGGGTCCTCTTTCCCCCTCTTGAGTTTCTATTAGGCATTTCAAAGGAAAAGATGGGAAAAAAGGAGGGCCAAGAAGGGGAGGAGGGTTGCAGAGCTCTCATAATAGATTAGAACAGTGGTTCTCAACCCTTAATACGCTTCCTCATGTTATGGTGACCCCCTCAACCATAAAATTATTTTTGTTGCTAATTCATAACTATCACTGGGTTGTTGTAGGGTTTTTCGGGCTATATGGCCATGTTCTAGAGGCATTCTCTCCTGACGTTTCGCCTGCATCTATGGCAAGCATCCTCAGAGGTAGTGAGGTCTGTTGGAACTAGGAAAAAGGGTTTATATATCTGTGGAATGACCAGGGGTGGGACAAAGGACTCTTGTCTGCTGGAGCTAGGTGGGAATGTTTCAACTGACCACCTTGCTGCTGTTTTGAATCATTTTGCTGCTAGGTTCTTGTGGGTTTTTTTCGGGCTATAGAGCCATGTTCTAGAGGCATTTCTCCTGACGTTTCGCCTGCATCTATGGCAAGCATAGATGCTCTACAACAGAAAAGGGCACACTCTTGTCTGTCGTAGTTGCTTCCATTGGTTCTCTGATTCTTATATTCATTTTGATTGCTGATATACTTTCTGAGAGAGACAAACCTAAATTCTTCTACCTTTGTTGGTCTTTTTGTATCACTCTCCATACTTTTCCATAGTTGTTTTTAAATAATTCAGTTTCTGTTTGTCATCTCGATTTCCAAATATTTTAGTTTAGTCATTATATTGATTTCTGTGTCTTGTTTCAAAGTCTCTTGATTCTTCTTCACAAGAAAGGCCGTGGATCATGAGGCATCAGCTGAAGGAATCACGGGGGGATTCAGTGTGGGTTGGGCCTGAATGGGAGCTAAAGGGCTTGTTTTTTACTCTCCAAGAAATAGCCTCCCAAAGCTTGTTGCCTAATTCTTCCTTTCTTTTACAGAGGAAATATGATTGTTGCCTGACAATTTTGAGTACAACCTGTTGAAGGATTTTGTTCCATTGAAAGAAGAGGGAGGAAAAGCATCTTGGATACAGTTTGGTTCATCAGCAAAGAGTGGTTCTAACATGGAGAAACCCAACTCACCTGGACTTGAAGCAGGACTTGGGAGCAGTGGAGGATTCTGGGAAAGAACTACACAAACGTTCCTGAATCCACAGACACAGTGCCAGCACTTCAGGCATTCCTCCTTCCGAGAGGGCGAGGGACCCAGAGAGGTTTGCAGCCGCCTCCACTCTCTCTGCCGCCAGTGGCTGAAGCCAGAGCAACACACCAAGGCGGAGATGCTGGACCTGGTGATCCTGGAGCAGTTCCTGAGCATCCTGCCCCCAGAGATGGGGAGCTGGGTCCGAGAGTGTGGGGCAGAGACCTCTTCCCAGGCGGTGGCCCTGGCGGAAGGCTTCCTCCTGAGTCCTCCATCAGAGAAATCTCCATCAGAGACCACCCAGAGCCTCCAGCAGAAGGAGTTCAACCAAGAAGGAGATGGGGCTGCAGCCTTGGAAGGTAAGAAGGAACCCTTCTGGGAGTTTAGTGCTTTAGCCAGTGTAAATTCCCCTTCAGAGAATCCACAATCAGTTTGAACTAAAGAAGGTGCACATGCAGGATCATTTGGCCTTGAGATGAGTATTTATGAGTAGGTATGGGATGGATAAAAAGTGCTGAAGCCAATGTCAATATTGTGCAGAGATAGGAAAAGCTGAGCTTATGGATGAAGTTAAAGTTGAAATGGAAATTGTGGTATGGGTATTGGGTGAGAGAAGGAAATTAAAGAGTGAACAGAACTAAGATATGTTAGATAAATAAGAAGAAGGGAGGAAGTGTGAGAAATAGGAAGAGGTTGGGGAAACGTTGTCATAGATGAATGATATGTATGGAACAAATGTACAAAAGATACTCATGTAACACATAATAATAATAATAATAATAATAATAATAATAATAATAATAATAATAATTATAATTATTATTATTATTATTATTAAAAAGATTATATAGCTAGCCATTTGGTTGCAAAAGGTGTGATTTCAGTATGATTTGCAGTTTTTTCTGGAAATGCTTCTAAATTTCATACTGATGGGCAGGACTAAAAAATTAGCCCTTCAGTATAATCCCAGGTGGTACCCAAATTTCAGGTGAGGCCTGAAACTGAGCTGGAAGACAAACAGACAACAAACAATAACTTTAGTCAGTTGAAATACAAAGCCCAGGACTACTTTCATCCCATCTTTTCACAGTACTGAATGAGCTAAAACAGTCCTAAACTCAAAAACTTTATATATTCCTGGACTGGAGAATGCTCCTCTGTTCATAGGGTCATTTCCTCCTAGGTTTCTTTATAGGACAGTAATTCTCTTCTTGGAGACATGTTTATGTGATCAGCTTTCCACCCCTTCCTCTCTCTCTCTCTCCCAGGGGCTGAAATGATGTTGTTGGCAAATCCTCAGTGGTTTCTTCCCCTTTGTGATGGAGTGGAAGTGAATCAGGTAAGCAGAAGGATTCCTGGGAGAGGAGGAAGGGAGCTGTCTGGGGGTCATTTCTTCCAGGCCCAATAATCAAACATCTCTTGAAACAGAAAAGATAGAATGGGAGTTTCTTAAAAGTGAAATACTGAAGCCACAATTGCAAACAGTACCAACAAAGAGGGGGGGGAAAGAGAAATCTATGGATGCCAGAATGGATGTCCAAAGAACTTTCAGCTGGGCTACGATTTAAAAGGGACAAGAAATTCAAAAGCAGGGAAATCACCAAAGAATTCTAATTACTAACCAGCAAAATTAGGGAAAAGGTCTGACAAGGCAAAACAGAAAATGAGCTCAGGTTTGCCAAAGAGATTAAAAACAATAAAAAGTGGGTTCTTTGTCTGGAGACGGTGGTGAAACGCTAGGAGGGGATGGGGAAAACGTAGAACGTTGCCTCAGTCTCCCAAAGGGAGTCAGTATTCTACTTCAGCAAGATGGAGCAGATGGGGTAATAGGGGAAATGCAACCCAAAATAGGTAAAGAAGTATTCCAGGAATAGCTGGCCACTCTAAATGAATCCAAGTCTCCAGGGCCACATGAACTACATCCAAGAGTTCTGATGGAACTAGCAGAAGAAATTTCAGAACCACTGGAAATAATCTTTGAGAATTCAGTTGCTTTACGTTTTTTGAGCTGTATGGCGATGTTCCAGAAGCATTCTCTCCTGACATTTTGCCTCACAACCTCTGCCTGCCATAGATGCAGGTGATACGTCAGGAGAGAATGCTTCTGGAACATGGCCATACAGCTCAAAAAACTTAGAGCAATCGAGTGATTTTGGCCGTAAAAGCCTTTGACAACACATCTTTGAGAACTCTTGGAGAACGGGAGAAGTCCGAGCAGACTGGAGGAGATAAAGGTTGTCTCTATCTTTAAGAACGCACAAAAAGAAGACCCCCAACAATTACCATCTAGTCAGCTTGACCTCCCATGGTTTTACAAACAACTTGTAAAACGTGGGCTAGATAATACTACTGTTAGGTGGATTTGTAATGGGTTGAGTGACTGAACCCAAAGGGTGCTCACCAATGTTTCCTCTTCATACATTAAGGGAAGCTATGGTGAGCTTCTTTCTGCTTTGGTGAGACCTCACCTGGAATAACACTGTGTCCCATTCTGGGCAATACAATAAAAACTGGAACATGTCCAGATTCCATTTCTGATTCTGTATATCTATTAATAAATGGTTGTGACTGACGTCTCTACAATGCTTTCGGCTGTGGCATAGAGGCCGTAGCCCTTTCACCTTAAAACAACCAACAGGAATGTAAATCATCTTTAATGGGTTTCTTGTAATTCTTTTTCTTAATTTCACTAATTTTCCTTTGTCCAGCAGGGCTCAATCGCCTTTGAGGAGGTGGCTGTCCATTTCTCTTTGGAGGAGTGGGCTCTCCTGAATCTGGGTCAGAAAGCCTTGCACATGCAGATCATGGAGGAGATCCATAGGATGGTGGACTCTCTTGGTAAGGCTCCCTCGCTGATGGGGATTTCTATCTCAAAATGCAGGATCCCAATCAGCAGCTCCCTGGTGGAAGTAATTTCCAAAATCATCCCAATCACTGAGGGTCCTCAAGGCAGGGCTTATGTTAGAAATATATGACATACTAGTAATATATGGGTCCCTTAGTCTTTCAGCTGATTTGCTATTTCAAGATGGCATGTTTTAGAAACTATGACAGCTTCTCCTCTTGACCTAAACCTCCTTTCTGAACTTTCTTAGGGCCTCAGGTGGGACTGTGGCTTTCATGCTTTACTTCCTTCATGGTTGGTGTCTGTGTGATGACTTATTGGACATTTCAATATTTCGCTCTCCATGTAGAGATCTGAGAAGGGCTTAAAGAAAAACTGAGAAAACAAAGGCAAATGATGAAAATGATAAAATTGGTTTTTAAACTTAAAGTATTTTCAGACCTTTTAAGAGAATTACAATAATTTAAAAAGAAGCAAAACCCTATACATTTAAGGGTTTTGGTAAAACCAATTAGATGCCCAAACCTTCACGAAGAATAATGTATTATTGTGGTTCCTGAGCAACTGCAATGCCAGCACCAATTTAGATTCGAGTGGGAAGACTTCCATAACTGGAGTCAAGTATAGAATCCTAGAGTTGGAAGAGACCTCATGGGCCAKCCAGTCCAACCCCCTGCCAAGAAGCAGGAATATTGCAATCAAAGCACCCCTGACAGATGGCCATCCACCTCTTTCAAAGCCTCCAAAGAAGGAGCCTCCACCACACTCCGGGGCAGAGAGTTCCACTGCTGAACAGCTCTCACAGTCAGGAAGTTCTTTCTTWTGTTCAGATGGAATCTCCTTTCTTATAGTTTGAAGCCATTGTTTCTTGTCCTAGTCTCCAGGAACAAGTGCACATGCAATTGCCACAACTGGGGTCCCTGGAAAATCTATCAAGAGTGATCACCCCAGATCATTTTTTCTCTCTCTCTCTCCCCACCCCCCTCCCTATGAGAGTGTGTGTGAGAAAGAGGCAATGAGAGGGAGGAAGCAGATTGGCWGGTATTTCCAGGAAGTCTTATTGCGGCATTTGGATTTATCWGCAGCTCTTCCCTCTGGTGCAGTTTTCTCACTCCTCACAAACTGGAATGGTTAGGAAGCAAAATCCACTCTCTCCCATGTGGTGTTACGTGGATGTCGCTATTTCTGGTCGAGTTCTGCAGACGTAACTTTCTTTGTTCCCTTCTCTGCCTTCATTATTCTTCTCTCTTTTTTCTTTACAGTCACAATCTTGTATCTTTCCAGCCTTGTCATGCAAAACTGTAACAATCTCTTTAGCACTCTGAAATTAGTTATAGGACCTCCTATGTTGGAGCAGAAAAATCCAACCTTAAGTATACCTGGGAAGAGAGAACTGGAGATTGAGGTAGAGAAGTAAATAGGAGGGAGCCATTTTGAAATGGGTGGTAGCGAGGTAAAGATTTAGCTAGAGAGAAAGGAAAGCCTTTGAATGTGAAGGGAAAAGGCACCTATCCCCCCAGAAGAAGGAGACAGAATAAAAAGCCAGGCTGGGGCTGAGGAACAGGTAGCCTCTGGAGCATAGGTAACTCACCTCTCCCTTAGAGGGGCCGACCAAGGTCAAGATGGATGGAGGTTATCCTTGAAGCAACTGGTTTGACTTTGAAGGAACTGGGAATGGCCACAGCCGACAGTGAGCTCTGGCGTGGGCTGGTCAGGAGGGAGTGCACGAATAAACAAGAACAACTTAGAGGCTCCAGGCAGTCAAAGAGTGTCCATCTTTACTGAACAGGTGGTGGGGAGAGGGCAGTATTTATATCTTCGTTTCTTCCATGTTGTTTTAAGGATCATTTCAATCTCCTTCTTATATCCTTATCACTCACACAGAGGAATGATTGTCTCTGTCCTTCTTCACAGCAGATAACTGGAACACCAAACACAAGAAGCATTTGGGACACAATGGAGGCTTTCTTAGACACCAGCAAAACTACAGAGAAGATGGAGGTTCTGTCAGAGAAAGTCCCTACAAATGCAATGTATGTGGGCAGTGTTTTACCCAAAATATGGAACTTGTGCTTCACAAGACACTCAGTCCTGGGAAAAGCCATTGTACATTGAAAGTATCAGCAAAATGTCTTGCTGATTACAAACTGCCATATCTAAGCCAAGAAGAAATATTTCAAGGAACTGAGGATTTCATAAGGCAGGAGTGTGGGAAATCTTTTATCCAGAGTTCACACTTGGTGAAACCTGAGAGATTTCAAAAAGGACAGGAATCATACAAATGCCAGGAGTGTGGGAAATGTTTTGCTGACTGTTCAAAATTGGTGATGCACAAAAAATTCCACACAGGGGAGAAGCCACACCAATGCCAGGAATGTGGGAAAGGTTTTGCTTACAGTTCAAAATTGGTGACGCACAAAAAAGTCCACACAGGAGAGAAACCATACCAATGCAAGGAATGTGGGAAGTGTTTTGCTTACATTTCAGCCTTGGAGAGCCACAAAAGACGCCACACAGGCGAAAAGCCATACCAATGCCAGGAATGTGGGAAAAGTTTTGCTCACAGTTCAGCGTTGGCAAGACACAAAAGACTCCACACAGGAGAGAAGCCATTCCAATGCCAGGAGTGTGGGAAATCTTTTGCTGACAGTTCAGCATTGGCGAGACACAAAAGACTCCACGTAGGAGAGAAACCATACCAATGCCAGGTGTGTGGGAAATGTTTTGCTGACGGTTCATCCTTGGTGAACCACAACAGACTCCACACAGGAGAGAAGCCATACAAATGCCAGGAGTGTGGGAAATATTTTGCTTCCAGTTCAGGCTTGGTGAGCCACAAAAGACTCCACACAGAAGAGAAGTCATACCAATGCCAGGAGTGTGGGAAAGGTTTTGCTTGCAGTTCATCCTTGGTGATCCACAAAAGACTCCACACAGGAGAGAAGCCATACCAATGCCAGGAGTGTGGGAAATATTTTGCTTCCAGTTCAGCCTTGGGGAGCCACAAAACACTCCACACAGGAGAGAAGCCATACAAATGCCAGGAGTGTGAGAAGTGTTTTGCTTACAGTTCACACTTGGTGAAGCACAAAAGATTCCACACAGGAGAGAAACCATATCAATGCCAGGAGTGTGGGAAATGTTTTGCTGACAGTTCAGCCTTGGCGAGGCACAAAAGACTTCACACAGGAGAGAAGCCATACCAATGCCAGGAGTGTGGGAAAGGTTTTGCTGACAGTTCTCACCTGGTGAGGCATAAAAAACTTCACACAGGAAAGAAAGGGTAAAAGTGCCAGGAGTGTGGGAAATTATTTACTCAGAATACTCCCCATATAGACCACTGGAGATCCCACACAGGAGGAGAGCCATACCAATGTCAGGATTGTGGGAAATGTTTTGCTGACAGTCCACAATTAGTGAGCCACAAAAGAGTCCACATAGGAGAGAAGCCGTGCCAATCCCAGGAGTGTGGGAAGTGTTTTACTCAGACTTCTTTGTCAACAAGCAACAGTGATTACAAACATGCCAAAAAACAGCCTTTGTGTGTAAACATCTGATTTTAAACAAGACTGGAAAGTTCTGGCTGTTTTCTTGCTCCTGGCACACTGCTGAGCCACAATAAATAGAAAAATGGGTACCTTTGTATTATTTAAGAATGTACAGTGTTACATATAATGAGTATTTGTATCTATGGTAGGCAAAGTGAGCATTCGATATGTTTTGCAAAATTCAATCCCTTGGTTTTTGTTTTGTAGAGAAATAGATGTTTCTGTATAGAGTAAAAATCCTTATGTTTGCATAATAAATACAAGCTTTCCAACACTTTCAGGGCATAGAGACATTTTACTCAAAAGAAATAAAAGAAACGCATGGCAGAGGAAAATATGAAAAACAGAATATGAAATCCAGAAAAATGTGTTCTTCATTGGAAGATTAGGGTCCCTTATGTTCTCTCATGTGATCATCTGATGGCTGATGCAATGTGATGTTATCGTCTAACGGCAGACCACTACAAACAGGGAAGTGAGACTGAGGCTCCTTCTGCAATGCCCAATAATCCAGGTTATCAAAGCAGATAATCCACAATATCTGCTTTGAATTGAGTTATATGAGTCTACACTGCCATATAATGAAGTTCAAAGCAGATAATCTGGATTTTTATATGGCAATGAAGAAGGGCTCTGAGGCTATAGAGCAGTATTTCTCAACCTTCCAAATGCCGCGACCCCTTAATACAGTTCCTTGTGTTGTGGTGACCCCCAACCATAAAATTATTTTTGTTGCTGTTGTTATGAATCATAATGTAAATATCTGATATGCAGGATGTGTTTTCATTCACTGGGTCAAATTTGGCACAAATGCCCAATACGCCCACATTTGAATACTGGTGGGGTTGGGAGGGGAGATTGATTTTGACATTTGGGAGTTGCATATTTCCGTATGCCACTGGTTCTTAACCTTCCTAATTCCGCAACCCCTTAATACGGGTCCTCATGTTGTGGTGACTCCCAACCACAAAATAATTTTCATTGCTGCTTCATAACTGTAATTCAGTTACTGTTATGAATCATAATGTAAATATCCGAGATGCAGAAAATATTTTCATTCACTGGATCTAATTTGGCACAAATACCCAACACACCCAAATTTGAAAACTGGTGGAGGTGGGGGGAGATTGATTTTGTCATTTGGGGGTTGTAATTGCTGGGATTTATAGTTAACCTACAATAGAAGAGCATTCTGTACTCCACCAACGATGGGATTAAACCAGACTTGGCACACATGACCAACAGAAAATACTGGAAGGGTTTGGTGGGCATTGACCTTGAGTTTAGGAGTTGTAGTTCACCTACATCCAGAAAGCAGTGGACTCAAACGATGATAAATCTGGATCAAACTTGGCACGAATACTCAATATTCCCAAATGTGAACACTGGTGGAGTTTGGGAAAAACAGGCCTTAATATTTGGGAGTTATAGTTGTTGGGATTTATAGTCCATCAACAATCAAAGAGCATTCTGAACTCCACCAACGATGGGATTGAACTAGACTTGGCACACAGAACTCCCATGACCAACAGAAAATACTGGAAGGGTTTGGTGGGCTTTGACCTTGAGTTTTGGAGTTGTAGTTAACCTACATCCAGAGAGCTCTGTAGACTCAAACAATGATGGTTCTGGACCAAACTTGGCACGAATACTCCATATGCCCAAATGTGAACACTGGTGAAGTTTGGAGAAAATAGAGCTTGACATTTGGGAGTTGTATTTCCTGGGATTTATAGTTCACCTACAATCAAAGAGCATTCTGAACCTCACCAATGACAGAATTGGGCCAAACTTCCCACACAGAACTCCCGTGACCAACATAAAATACTAGAATGGGTTTAGTGGGTATTCATCTTGATTTCTAGAATTGTAGTTCACCTACATCCAGAGAGTACTGTGGACTCAAACGATGATGGATCTGGACCAAACTTGGCACAAATATTCAATATGCCCAAATGTGAACACTGGTGGAGTTTGGGGAAAATAGAGCTTGACATTTGAGAGTTGTAGTTGCTGGGATTTATAGTTCATCAACAATCAAAGAGCATTCTGAACTCCACCAACGATGGGATTGAACCAAACTTGGCACACGGAACTCCCATGACCAACAGAAAATACTGGAAAGGTTTGCTGGGCATTCACCTTGAGTTTTGGAGTTGTAGTTCACCTACATCCAGAGAGCACTGTGGACTCAAACGATGATGGATCTGGACCAAACTTGGCACGAATACTCAGTATTCCCAAATGTGAACACTGGTGGAGTTTGGGGAAAATAGAGCTTGACATTTGAGAGTTGTAGTTGCTGGAATTTATAGTTCACCAACAATCAAAGAGCATTCTGAACTCCACCAACAATGGAATTGAACCAGACTTGGCACACATAACTCCCATGACCAACAGAAAATACTGGGTTTGCTGGGCATTGACCTTGAGTTTTGGAGTTGTAGGTCATCTACATCCAGAGAGCACTGTGGACTCAAACAATGATGGATCTGGACCAAACTTTGCACAAGCACTCAATACGCCCAAATACGAACACAGATGGAGTTTGGGGGAAATAGACCTAGACATTTGGGAGTTGTAGTTGCTGGGATTTATAGTTCACCTACAATCAAGGAGCACTCTGAACCCCACCAACAATAGAATTGGGCCAAACTTCCCATACAGAACCCCTGTGACCAATAGAAAATACTCTGTTTTCTGGTGGTCTTTAGTGACCCCTTTGACACCCCCTTGTGTCCCCCCAAGGGGGCCCGACCCCCAGGTTGATAAATGCTGCTCTAGACCATTGTTGTGGCTTCATCACATACATAGCCAGTGAAATGTCACTTTCCAGTCAGTGGAGAAAACCTCTCTTCACATTGATGAGAATTAGTTGGGTGATAATATATGAGATTCCCATTGAAAGGTGATGCTTAGTCTGTCCCAAGGCCTCCCACAGCACTGCTCTGATCAAGACATTGAACAGGATGTATCTTCCCCAAATAGTTGAATGCTTGTGAGGCAGCCCTGCATCTGAAGGGGTCAAGGAAGGGTTAAGGGGAGGGAGGTTGGGTTCTTAGAGAGGAAGGAAGGAAGGAAGGAAGCCATGGAGGAGGGGGAGCCCAGTCCTCCAGAGTCTTGCCTTGACCACTTCCTCCTCCTCTGCTTGGGCAGCCTTCCTCTCCTCCTGGGAGTCCCATTCCCAGACCCCCTTCAATGGGCTGAAGATCTGTAGTTGCTGTTGTCCTGTTGGTAGTGAAACAGAATCCCTTAAATAACAAAGGGAAATGCTATGCTTGCTTTTGCAGGCAGGGAATGTTTTCAAGCTGTAGAGGATTGAATCTGTGAATACAGAGAGGGGTGAGTGTAGGTACCTACATGTATTTGCAGGCTATGGTCGAAAAACCAAATACTGCAATGTAATGGTTGGAGAGATCTTGGAGGGAGTGGAGATTTCATTGAATCAAGCGTCACGTTAGTTTTCGTTACAAGAAAGGTTTATGGATCATGTGGTGTCAGTGGCAGGAATCAAGGGGTGATTCAATGTGGGTTGGGACTGAAGGGGAACTCAATGGGAGGCCAGGTGGGTCTGGGGTCTGGAGAAGCAGACGCCCAAGTGGAAGGAGGGCCCAGCATTACCTGGCTCTAAAATAAATAAATAAAGGGCTTGTCTTTTTAATTCTCGAAGAAAAATCCTCCCGAAGCCTGTTGTCTAATTCTGCCTTTCTTTCACAGAGGAAAGGTGATTTTTGGCTGAGAATTTTGGAGAAGAACCTGTTCAGGGATTTTTTTTCCCTTGAGAGAAGAAGGAGGAAAGGCACCTTGGATACGGTTTGCTTCTTCATCAAAGAGTGGTTCCAACATGGAGAGACCCAACTCACCTGGACTCCTCAGTACAAGCTGTTTTTGAGCTGCTTAGGTCAACAGTAAGCTGGGCTTGATAGTCGGCAGCTCACCTTTTGGTTGGTAGATGTTATCATTGCTGGTGATTTTACCAGGTGTGCTAAACTATCTATCTATCTATCTATCTATCTATCTATCTATCTATTTATCTATCATCTATCTATCTATCTATCTATCTATCTATCTATCTATCTATCTATCATCTATCTATCTATCATCTATCTATCTATCATCTATCTATCTATCTATCATCTATCTATCTATCTATCTATCTATCTATCTATCATCTATCATCTATCTATCTATCATCTATCTATCTATCTATCATCTATCTATCTATCTATCTATCTATCTATCTATCTATCATCATCTATCTATCTATCTATCTATCTATCTATCTATCTATCATCTATCTATCTATCTATCTATCTATCTATCTATCTATCTATCTATCTATCTATCTATCTATCTATCATCTATCTATCTATCTATCTATCTATCATCTATCTATCTATCTATCTATCTATCTACACACACACACACACACACAAATATACCAGTGCCTTCTGCAGTTTGGATTCAGGGCACCACCATGAATGCATCAATAGGAGCATAGTGTCTAGATCTAGGGAAGTAATGCTACCCCGTTATTCTGCCTTGGTTAGACCACACCTGGAATATTGTGTCCAGTTCTGGGCACCACAATTGAAGAGAGATATTGACAAGCTGGAATGTGTCCAGAGAGGGACTAAAATGATCAAGGGTCTGGAGAACAAGCCCTATGAGGAGCGGCTTAAAGAGCTGGGCATGTTTAGCCTGAAGAAGAGAAGGCTGAGAGGAGACATGATAGCCATGTATAAATATGTGAGAGGAAGCCACAGGGAGGAGGGAGCAAGCTTGTTTTCTGCTTCCCTGGAGACTAGGACACGAAACAATGGCTTCAAACTACAAGAAAGAAGATTCCATCTGAACATGAGGAAGAACTTCCTGACTGTGAGAGCCATTCAGCAGTGGAACTCTCTGCCCCAGAGTGTGGTGGAGGCTCCTTCTTTGGAAGCTTTTAAACAGAGGCTGGATGGCCATCTGTCAGGGGTGCTTTGAATGCAATATTCCTGCTTCTTGGCAGAATGGGGTTGGACTGGATGGCCCATGAGGTCTCTTCCAACTCTTTGATTCTATGATTCTCCAGTAAAAAGCTTCCTGAACCTTCTCACCTAATTCTGTTTTTTCTTCACAGAGGATATGATGATGATGATGATTATTATTATTTGCTACTCTTCCTAACAGTAACATCTTGTCTTTGGAGACTTCTAGAGCAGAGCCTGTTCAGGAATTTTCATTTTCCGAGAAAAGAGGGAGGAAAAGCATCTTGGATCCAGTTTGATTCTTCATCCAAGAGTGGTTTCAACATGGAGAGACCCAACTCACTTGGATCTGAAGCAGGACCTGAGAGCATTGAGACATCCTTGAGAAAAACTACACTTAAGTCCCAGAGTGTGGACCTTTATAGCTCGGACACACAGTTCCAGCGCTTCAGGCATTCCTCCTTCCGAGAGGGCGAGGAACCCAGAGAGGTTTGCAGCCGCCTCCACTCTCTCTGCCGCCAGTGGCTGAAGCCAGAGCAACACACCAAGGCGGAGATGCTGGACCTGGTGATCCTGGAGCAGTTCCTGAGCATCCTGCCCCCAGAGATGGGGAGCTGGGTCCGAGAGTGTGGGGCAGAGACCTCTTCCCAGGCGGTGGCCCTGGCGGAAGGATTCCTCCTGAGTCGGGCAGAGGACGAGAAGCAGGAAGGACAGGTGAGAGCATTGCCTCTTTGTGTCACTCACCTTGGGATTGATATATAGATTAAATGTACATCCCGCCTTCCTTCCAAGATGGGACTGATGTGATGAATAAGGTAGTCCCTGCTCCCTTGGCCTCTTCTCCCACCTGCTCCATATCCACTGTAAGCTCAGTTGTTGCTCTACTCAATATGTTGATCTCCAGATACAACATGGAAAATGATGGGAGAGGAAGTGTGGCATTTGTTTCAAACTAGATTGCCATATCAGAGTTATTCTTTTAAAAAATTCTCTATGTCTGTGATATCTTTGAACTGTCTCCATACTACTACTACAATACTCTATGCTCTTCCATGTGAGAGTTGGTAAATGTAAATAAACATAAGCAGAAGCTTTACCACAGTATTTAAACCAAGATATACCCTGCAGTATAATGAAATATCACTCAGGCTTATGTAACAAGTCACAGCCTCTTTACTTCAGTTCAGAAGTTCAAACAGTACAACAATATGTACAACAGTTACTCTGAGTTCAGGCAGAGAACAGAGGAATGAAATAGTCCTTTTAAAATAGTCTTTCAAATATGCCTCATGCCATAAAATGATCAGTCTTCAAGATATTTGGCAGCCAGCAATCTCTTCGCTGTCCAAAGTGAGAATGGCCTTTGGTCTCAACAGCAAGCCAAAGGCAGCAGCCAATCAGAACTCTGGCTCCCGGCACACTCAACCGATCAGCTGCAGACACATGGCTCTCCGGTTAACCCACCATATCATGGCGTCCTTTTTCAAATCCTCCCATTCCAGGCCCAAAATGGCTGCATGGAAGCCCAGCCTGATGTCCCTCAATCAGAGAAGCCTCCACCAGATGCCACCCAGAGCCTCCAGCAGAAGGATCTCAAGCAGGAAGGAGATGGGGCTGTGGCCTTAGAGGGTAAGAAGAAACCCTTTGGGGTGTTTTGCTCTTTTATGCTGGTGTGAATTCCCTTTTAGAGGGATTGTGGCACATCCCCAATCAATTGGAGATTGAAATTGTGCACATCCAGGATCATTTGGCCTTGAGATGAGTATATAACAACAACAACAACAACAACAACAACAATAATCATCATCATCTTTATTTATACCCCGCCACCATCTCCCCCAGGGGACTCGTGGTGGCTAACATGAGGCCAAGCCTGATAGATATAGGTAGGCATTTGGTTTCGAAAGGTGTAATTCGAATGTGATTTGCAGTTTTCTTTCTTGCACTACTTCTCCATTTGCCAAAAGTTGAGTAGAACTGAAAATTCAGCCCTTCAGTTTTTTCCCAGGTTGGACCTGATGCTCAGATGAGGCCTGCAACTGAGCTGGAAGACCAACAGATCACAAAGAATAACGTTAGTCCATTGAAATACCAAGCCTAGGACTAGTTTCGATCCAAGCTACTTAAAGCACTGCTGGTGATAAAATGGCCTAAACTCCAAAATGTTACCTATTCCTGGGCTGGAGAATGCTTCTGTCTTCATAGGGTCATTTCCTCATAGGTTTCTTTTTAGGACTGCAATTGTCACCTCTGAGACATGTTTATGTTTTCAGCTTTCCACCCCTTGGTCTCTTTCCCAGGGGCTGGAATGGTGTTATTGCCGAAAACACAGTCGTTTCTTCCGCTTTGTGATGGAATGAATCAGGTAAGCAGAAGGATTCCTGGGAGAGGAGGAAGGGAGCTTTATTTATATACCGCCCTATCTCCCCGAGGGGACTCAGAGCATAGAATCAAAGAGTTGGAAGAGACCTCATGGGCCATCCAGTCCAACCCCCTGCCAAGAAGTAGGAATATTGCATTCAAATCACCCCTGACTGATAGCCATCCAGCCTCTGTTTAAAAGCTTCCAAAGAAGGAGCCTCCACCACACTCCGGGGCAGAGAGTTCCACTGCTGAACGGCTCTCACAGTCAGGAAGTTCTTCCTCATGTTCAGGTGGAATCTGAACATTCCACTTATGCAAAATAATACAAAAACATACATAGAATCACAGAAACCAAGAGTTGGAAGAGACCTCATGGGCCATCCATTCCAACCCCCTGCCAAGAAGTGGGAATATTGCATTCAAATTCAATACAATATAAAACAAAAACATGTTTTATATTGTTATATATATTAACATAAACTGTTAACACAACATATATGGTAAAATCAATTTAAAACTAGTTCCGCTCTGTTCTTCATGCAAGGTAAGCTGCCAGGGGCCAAGATTTCAATAAGGGGCCTGGGCTGTTCAGAATGGGCTGGGCCAAGGCTAGTGCAAGGAGAAGGGGAAAATGGGGCTGGCTGAATGCTACAGGGCAAGGATCGGTCTCAGCAATGGCCCTTCTAGGGGACTGGAGCCACTCAATTCCACGGCCAATTAAAGGACTATAAAAAAGGTCTGGGATGGAAGAAAAGGTGCCCTCAGATGACAGGGAACTGGGGAATGGATGGGGTACAAGGCCAAGTCCTAACTGTTGGACCAAGAGCTTGAGACTAGTCATCACTGAAGGCCCGAGAAACCACCAAGTCTTCAAGTTCTTATGGAAGGAGGTGAGGGATGGGGCCAGCCTTATCTCCTTGGGGAGGGCATTCCAGAGGCAGGGGGCCACCACAGAGAAGGCCCTCTCGTCCCCACCAACCAGACTTGAGACGGTGATGGGAACGAGAGAAGGGCCTCCCCGGTGGATCTTCGTGTCCACGCCGGTTCAAAGAGCGAGATGCTATTGCGGAGATACGCAGAGTGCAAACCGTTTAGGGCTTTTTAGGTGCACTGCTGAACAGCTCTCACAGTCAGGAAGTTCTTGCTAATATTATTTATTTATTTACTTACTTACTTACTTACTTACTTACTGCATTTGTATACTGCCTTTCTCAGCCAAGGCGGTTTTCAACAAAAAAGGACACATAATATCATGAAACAAGATAAAACATTAAAACAGTAAAAACAACAGTAATAATAACAACAACATTAGCCTCTCCTTATTATCAAGCATTGTCCAGTTCCATTTATTATTTATTTATTTACTTACTTCATTTGTATACCGCTCTTCTCAGCCCTTAGGTGACTCAGAGTGGTTAACAACAACAGTTTCAGTATACACAGTATAAAATCATTGAACATTTAAAAACAGTAGCATAACAATTAATTAAACACCAAACATCAAGTCGTCAAGTCATTCAATTCAGTTCCATCGTCAAGTCATTCATTTTCCTACGTCGTTTACATTCTGATCTCCCTAGGGAGGGTGTGCCATAGCCGAGGGGCCACCACTGAGAAGGCCCTGTCTCTCGTCCCCACCTGTAGTTTGAAGCCATTGTGAAACAGAAAAGATTGAACCAACAGGAATGTAAATCATTTCAAAGAGATTCTTGTAATTCTTTTTCTTGATTTCCCTGATGTGAGAAGGAAATGTGTTCTTTTCCCACCAGGGCCCAATCACCTTTGAGGAGGTGGCTGTCCATTTCTCCCCGGAGGAGTGGGCTCTCCTGAATCTTGGTCAGAAAGCCATGCACGTGAAGACCATGGAGGAGATTCATGGGATGGTGGACTCTCTTGGTAAGGCTCCCTCACGGATGGGGATTTCTGTTTTAAAATGCAGCATCCCAGTCAGCAGCTCTCTGGTGGAAGTAATTTCCGAAATTCATCCCAATCCCTGAGGGTCCTCAAGGCAGGGCTTATGTTAGAAATATACAACATATGAGTAATATATGAGTCCCTTAGTCTGTCTGATACAGAGAAAAATCTCCCTTCTTTTTCTCTCAGCTGATTTGATATTTCAAAGTGGCATGTTTTACGAACGATTACAGCTTCTCCTTTTGACCTAAACCTCCTTTTGGAACCTACTTAGGGCCTAAGGTGGGACTGTGGCTTTTATATAATACTTTCTTCATGGTTGATGTGTGTGTGTTGACTTATTGGACCTTTGAATATTCCACTCTCCGTATAGAGATCTGAGAAGGGCTTAAAGGAAAACTGAGAGAACAAAGGCAAATGATGAAAATGAGAAAACTGGTTTTAAAACTTAAAGTATTTTAAGACATTTAATGAGAATTACAATATTTTCAAAAGAAGCAAAACCCTATACATGGAAGGGTTTTGGTAAAACAAATTAGATGCCCAAACCTTCACAAAGAATAATGTATTCACTTGATTCCTGAGCAACTGCAATGTTAGCACCAATTCGGATTTGAGTGGGAAGATTTCCATAACTGGAGTCAAGTCCAAGCATACCACACACCTTGCTGCAACTGGACTCCTGGAAAATGTATTGTCGAAGGCTTTCATGGCCGGAATCACTGGGTTGTTGTAGGTTTTTTCGGGCTATATGGCCATATTATATATCTGTGGAATGACCAGGGTGGGGCAAAGGACTATTGTCTGTTGGAGCTAGGTGTGAATGTTTCAACTGACCACCTTGATTAGCATTTGATGGCCTGGCAGTGCCTGGGGCAATCTTTTGTTGAGAGGTGATTAGATGTCCCTGATTGTTTCCTCTGTTGTTTTGCTGTTGTAATTTTAGAGTTTTTTTTAATACTGGTAGCCAGATTTTGTTCATTTTCATGGTTTCCTCCTTTCTGTTGAAATTGTCCACATGCTTGTGGATTTCAATGGCTTCTCCGTGTAGTCTGACATGGTGGTTGTTGGAGTGGTCCAGCATTTCTGTGTTCTCAAATAATATGCTGTGTCCAGGTTGGTTCATCAGGTGCTCTGCTATGGCTGACTTCTCTGGTTGAAGTAGTCTGCAGTGCCTTTCATGTTCCTTGATTCGTGTCTGGGCAATGCTGCGTTTGGTGGTCCCTATGTGGACTTGTCCACAGCTGCATGGTACACGGTAGACTCCTGCAGAATCCTTCTTGTCCTTTGCTGAACGAAGCATTTGTTAGATTTTCTTGGTGGGTCTGTAGGTGGTTTGTATGTTGTGTTTCCTCATCAGCTTCCCTATGCGGTCAGTGGTTCCCTTGATGTATGGCAAGAACACTTTTCCTCTGGGTGGATCTTCATCTTTACTC